CTGGGTTGTAACTCATCTTGTCTGTTAAAACAATGAAATGTTAGCTCCTTTGTTTATTTTTCCCTGCTTGCCTTTTGATGAGCAGTGATCCACTTGATAGCTGCCATCCAGTGCCAATATTGCTAATGGCAAAGCTGACCATCGTTTCTCGGACGTAACCCACCACTCAAATCAGGATCTTCACAGTGTCTCTTTGTACCTCATTAATAACCATGCTATCCCTATTCTGTTTTTCTGTAGTAGTGTCAGTTTCTGAGTTTTTATTTGCTTTTCCAGGTAACTCTCAGTTATGGGGACCCCGAGAACAAACACAATGTTGTGAGTGTGGGAGGAGTGTTTGGACTTCAGCAAGACCCAACCAGGTAAGTGTCCACTTCAAAACAAGATCTCCCTGTCTTGTTTATGTTTTTCAACTGCAAGATGATCAAACTCACTTATGGGATTATTTTCTCATGCCAGATCTTATCACAGTTATAGGTGGGTAGAGCCACCTGCCCTGCTGTAGTAGGCTGCTGCACATTCAATACATAGCATGTTCCTGGTCTGGAGAATTTCAGTCTCACTTTTATTTTACTTTTTTCCTTCACAGATTTAAATCTGTCCACTGCCTTCTCTATCCTGACACTATTTGGTGCCCCAATAAGAAGATGTCATAACTTTTGACCAGTCTTTGACACCTTTATCCTACCTACTTTGCATAAAGCAAGAGTTGTGATGGCTTTTTTTTTTTCTTCTGGGACACAAACAGACATCTACAAAAGGAGGTCGACTTTGTACAGAAACAAGACTGACTGGGTAATTATGGCAAGAAGGCATTTATTCAGCTGCAGCCTGGGACATTCCAGAGAAGAAAATCTTCTATGTCTTGTTCTTTGGTCCAGTGGCTCTTCATATGATGGCTGCAGTCATAGCTGTACAAGTCACTTTATGCTTTCATCTGATGTCACGTGAGCCCTATCATGTGAATCTGTGCTCAGATACATCCTAGCAAATGCAGTACTTAGAATGATAGCATTCTTACTGCTGTTAGCAGCTTTCAGAGGCCGCTGTCTTGAAGCTGGAATGTTTAAGCAGACTGCAGTCCCCATGATGATGGGGGGGATGAAGTTTTTGCTTGTCTTCTTTGTGAACAGGACTTAAGAACTTCTGCGGCATGCCATGTTATACCTCCTCCATCTGTGAGCTGAAACACGGTCTGTTTGTAAGCACCAGAAGTCCAGGAATTGCTAGGGTAGACAAGGGTGAAAGCCTTTGTCATGGGAAAAGCCCTGTGTAAGGGTAAACTGACTCAGGACTGCATGAGAGTTGCTTACAGTGCACGTTCTTCCCAGCAGTCTTTGTGTACCTCCCATGGAGGTGATTGTCAGACTTGGCACTCTTACCACTGAATGGCAGTGGCTGTTGAAGATGATGGTGGTCTGCTAGGTCCAAGACTATTCCCTTGGTATTTGATACTGAAGAAGTATTTGCCAGGCTAGTTGGTAACTGTTTCTCCTCCTTTGCCCTCAGCAGGTTAGGTGAGCTAGAGCACGCCCATTGGCTGATGAAACACCCTGTTTTTGAAGTATCCTTTACTGCCTGTGAGGGAGGAGGAATGCTAGATAGCTGTAGCGCAGAGAAAGTTTTTGATGATATCATTTGAGGCCTTTTAATGGTGTGTTTGTGGTTACCCCACCTCAGCTTCTTGAGGTAACCTTTGGAGACCAGTGTTTATTTTTACTCTACATCTTAATGTTTCACTACGTAATTCCAGCACTTGGTAAAAGGAAACTGTATGCTGATAGAAAAGCAAGAGTCCAATGCTGTAGCAATATCACCTGCTGCTGCGCTGTAAATCAAATAGGCTTAGTTTTGAAAGTGGAAGAATTGAAACTTCACATGTTTAGTTTTGTTGCTCCCAACTTTGCCTTTGTGCAATCTATACCTGACGTGAAGAACAGCATACAAATGATTTTGTAAAACCACTGATTACTTTCAAACTCTTCAGAAAATACTTGCAGGCTTAGTGCTAGAGGCTGAATTAAGTGGAGAATAATAGCATGATGTTGTATAACCTGAAACTATGACTAATGGCTAGAATTCGGACCCAGTAAGTTTCAGATTTCTATCAGCTGTGCTGAGCTGTGCATTTCAGCTAGTTGCTTAACTTCTTCCCATTTGAGAAGTGGTATCATGCAGGCAAACACCTGCAGCGTATTCAAGTATGAAATGTAGTGTAGGTGTCAGCCTCCTGTAAAATAATATTCTCTGCTTTCTGTTTTTAAAGCAAACCTTTCAGGAACTGGATACATTGTCCTCTTTGCATGATTCTATTTAATTTTACAGAGGAGCCAACAAGCTGACTGCTTGCTACAGTCCAGCAGCTTGTTCCTAATTTTCTTTATCTGCTAAGGCAATGCTTTGACCATGGGGCACAGGAATAAGAGTGCTGCAGGCAATCGGATCAAAGTCCAGCTAGCACAGTGGCTGTTTCAAAACAGGAACATCTGTAACACTGACAGCCTCTCACAGAGCATGGAGGACTTGTGGCCGGGTGGGTTGTGGGATGTTCTACCTCTCCATTAGGTGTTCTGCTCACTAGAACTGGGATGCCCTGTGGTTCGATGTTATGTCATTAATAGCTCTGGAGATTACTGGTATCTATATAAACACTTTTTAAAAAACATTTGGTGGGTTCTTGTTTTCAGCCTCCTCGTAGCAAAAAGTTGTGAAGCTGCATAAGCACTTGGTGAGATTTCATCCTTAGTGATCTCTGAATTCTGCTGGAGCTTTTCTTCCTCTCCTACTAAGAGCAGCCTCCTGTCAGATACTACAGACAGCACAAGCTGGGTAGTGATTATGTGGCAAACTGCAGTTCAAAAATGACAGCACTTCATACTGATGGTAGCAGAACTGAGTACAAGTCCCATACTGCAGTCACTTCCCATCCTAAATGGAGTTTGCTGCCTCTTTGTCATGCCTAATGCTGGTAGGGTGCTTATCGAGCTGAAAAAGGACCACATTCTTCTGTATGACAATGCAGGATTGTTTGTGTTCAAGATTCTTGTAATGTTTCTCTTGTTCACAATACAGTAGGCTCTGTAGATATACTGGGATGCAGCTTCTTAAACTACTGTCTCATACATAAAATGATTCCATGAAGTAAATATTTAAGGATGTCAAAAGGTGTGTTTTGTCTTGTCCTTTAATGCATTCTCTTCACCAAAAATGAACCATTAAACCCTGTAATCCAGAAAACTAGTCTCCTGTCAGCCTTGTGCTGCCATAGGGACAAAAAGCATATGGGAATTAGATGACTTGGATGTGCAGAGGCAGAAATATGCATGAGAAGAATCCTTGCAGCTAATTATTTAAGTATTTTAACCAGCTCTATGTCAGAACTTTCCCATTTTGTCTCTGTCACAGCAGCTCTTAAGCATCCTTGGGAAGCAATGGATCAAAGGGGTATTACGAGCACAGCTCTGCTTCTATGAGTAGAGCATGTTAATTGGATGTATAATTGCCTGTGCTGCTCTGTTATATGATGTCAGCTCTGCAAAGCAGGAGGCAGTTGGAGCTGCCGTGCTCACTACCACTGGAAATAAGCTGTGGTGTGGGAGCTTAATGCCTTAATGAGTTCTGGACCGCTTTTCTGTTGTACCTTGCAGGATGTGGAGCTGTTGGAGTGGGCCCAGAGGAGGGCTACTAAGATCAGAGGGCTGGAGCACCTCTCCTGTGAATAAAGGTTGAGGGAACTGGGCTTGTTTAGCTTGGAGAAGGCTGGGGGGAGACTTATTGTGGTCTTCCAGTATGTAAAAGAAGCTTACAAGCAGCAGAGAGACTGACTTTTTACATAGCCTGATAGGAATATGACAAGGGGGAATGGCCTCAAAGTAAAAGAGAGGAGATTCAGGATGTTAACACTGGTGAGGCACTGGCCCAGGCTGCCCAGAGCAGTTGTGGACGCACCATCCCTGGAGGTATTCAAGGCCAGGTCAGGCACGGCCCTCGGCAGAGGGCGGGAACTTCATGTCCTATGCTGGCCTTAGGCAAGAGGATTCTGTGCAGTTACACATGGTTTTTTAGGCACTGACTGTTAGACAAGGGCAGCCCACAGCTTTTACCAGCAGCTCTGAGCGATGGGGCACAGCTTTTCCTCTCAGCTTTATTCTGAGTTCTCTCACTGTAGTGCTTTACAAAATCACAGAAACACCAACGCTGGAAAAGACCTACAGGATCACCCGGCCCAACCATCCACCTATCACCAGTAGCTCTCACCAAACCACGTCCCTCAACACAGAATCCAGATGTTCCTTGAACACCTCCAAGGTCGGTGACTCCACCACCTCCCTGTGCAGCCCATTGCACTGCCTGACCACTCTTTTAGAGAAGCAGTATTTCCTAACGTCTGGCCTGAATCTCCCCTGGTGCAGCTTGAAGCCATTCCCTCTGGTTCTATCACTGTTACACGAGAGAAGAGGCCGACCCCCAGCTCACCACAACCTCCCTTCAGGTAGCTACGGAGAGCAGTGAGGTCTCCCCTGAGCTCCTCTTCTCCACACTGAACAACCCCAGCTCCTTCAGCCGCTCCTCATAAGATTTGTGCTCCAGACCCCTCACCAGCCTTGTCGCCCTTCTTTGAACCCGCTCAATGTCTTTCTTGCAGTGAGGGGCCCCAAACTGGGGACACGGTAGTGGAGGTGCGGCCTCACCAGAGCCGAGTACGGGAGGACAATCACTGCCCTGTTCCTGCTGGCAGCACCGTTCCTGATGCAAGCCAGGCTGCCATTGGCCTCCTTGGCCACCCGGGCACAGCGCTGGCTCACGTTCAGCCGAGAAGAAGAATTCTTTAGGGAGAATCAGAGCCGAGAAAGCTCAGCTCTGCGCGCCCGATGCTCCGCGCCGTGCCCTCTCCAGGCCGGCAGCGGCCGTCGCACCGCCGGTTCCCCGAGGGCGGCGCGGTTCCCGCGCAGCCGCCCGGCCCGGCCCCGCCTCCCGGCCCCAACACCGCCCACGTCCCGGCGCCGCGGTTCGGCCCGCAGCATGGAGCCGGACTCGAGCTTCCGCGGCCGCCGCGCCCTGGTCACCGGGGCCGGCAAAGGTGGGCGGGGGTCGGCAGAGCGGGGCGGGGGTCGGCAGAGCGGGGCCGGGGCTGACGGCGTCTCCCCGCAGGGATCGGACGCGCCGTGGCCATAGCGCTGTGCAAAGCCGGAGCGCGAGTAACCGCGCTGAGCCGCACCGCGGCGGACCTGGAGAGCCTCGCCCGAGAGGTAGGGACGGCCCCGGGAGTCCCCACGCGTCCCCAGACCGCACGGCGGGACGCCGCTGAACCGGGCTTCCACCGCAGTGCCCCGGGATCGAACCGCTGTGCGTGGATTTGGCCGACTGGGACGCCACGGAGGCGGCGGTGAGCGCGGCGGGGCCCTTCGAGCTGCTGGTAAACAACGCGGCCGTGGCGATGCTGCAGCCCTTCCTGCAGGTGACACGGGAGGCCGTGGAGCGGTGAGTGCCTCGTCTTTGTAAACATCAAGAGAGACTGAAGCAAAGCGCTGAGGCACAGCGGGAACGTTGCAGCATCACCTCCCTGCAGCCCCACAGCTTCCAGTCCGGTCCCACTGCTAAAGTGAGACAGCTGCTGCGAAGGCAGTTTAGAAAGAGAAGATAAAGCAGCTACGGGACTGTGAAATGGTCATGGTGAAAAATTAAATCAGTTTGCTTCAATTATATATTTCCTAATGTGCCACCGCTTAGGATCCAGGTTCTGGTGGGTCTGATTCTTTCTAAGACAGGTCACAATTTGTCCCTGTGTTAGAAGTCAGATACGTGAGGCTATGATAAAGGATTCGTTTGGAGCAGACCAGAAGGCACGCGATCTACTTAGATCATTCTGCAGTGCTAGCTGGTGAAAACCTCACCAAGGAAGAACTATGTTTCAAAAGAAGGCTGTTTCTCTTGCAGCAAATTTACTGTTTCAAAGCCTCATGAAGGCTGGATTGCATAAAAGGAGCCATGGGCTGAGGCCCAGGGATCACTGTGTAAAATTTAACAGAAGTACTGTGTGAGTCTGCCAAAGAACAGAGTCCTGCTGGAAGAGGGAGGATGCATGATTGCACCTTCCCCTCTGCGCAGCAGGGGCCACCACCCAGCTTGCTTCTGCTGAATGAACACATGGTTAACCATTGCTGCTATAGCCCATTAGCCTGGCATTTCTATCTGTGTTTAAGTATCACCAGTGCTCCCAAAGCACCAGCAGGGTTTGTCCTCTGCTGCCTCTCAGAACAATTCCTCTCTGGCCTGGCCTGCAAACGCTGTGTAACTTTTAAATCTCATTTATTTGTAGGTCTTTCGGTGTCAATTTCCAGGCCGTGCTCCACGTTTCTCAGGTGAGGATGAATTGTCACTGCAGTTGTCTCCTCTAGCAGCAACAACTAAGTTGTTCTACGCAGCAGAGACATGTCCTGGCAGGGAGGCAGCTATGGGGACCACAGTCCAAAATCAATCCAACATTGTGTGTACAGGTCAGAGAAGAGAGTGAAGGTCCTGTCTCTTACAGTGGGGAGGCACTGAGGACGTCCTGTGGCTGTTTTTGCTTTTTGTCTGCCACAAGAAGATTCCTACCAAATGGAACCACGCTCTTTCCTGTCCAGATTCTGACATCCTGATATTTTTTTTTCCCCTCCTCAGATCGTTGCTCGGCAGATGATTGCACAGGGGCTACCAGGTGCCATTGTGAATGTCTCTAGCCAGGCATCTCAGCGTGTCCTGAGGGATCATGCTGTTTATTGTAAGTGCCCCTTTCATTTTTGACTAGCTGAAGACCCATAGCCACAGAGGTTCTGGCTGCCAGTTCCAAACAAAGTACCTCTCCATGATCCAGACCGAGTGCTGTGCACTTAAATGCTTCCCATTCTTCCTTCCTCTTTTAAGGTTCTACCAAAAGTGCTTTGGATATGCTGAGTAAGGTAATGGCAATGGAACTGGGACCCCACAAGGTAAGATTTCTTCTGAAAGAGAAGCGTGAAAGGCATTTTGTCTCAGAGCAGTTTGGTACACGGTGTGTTGCTCTTGGTCTCAGATAAGAGTGAACACTGTGAATCCCACAGTAGTTATGACCGACATGGGAAGAATTAACTGGAGTGATCCTCAGAAATCTGCTGCCATGATTAACCGGATTCCACTAGGAAAGTTTGCAGGTCAGTCTAGATCTGTTGCCAGGCTGAGCTCCTTCTAATATCTAAGCTTTCCTCCTAACTGACATCGCAGCCACAGCTACCCTGCCTTTATTTGTGAGCAAAGTCATAACCCTGCTGAGTGGCTGTGGCTGAATTCCCAAAGCATCTGATGACAGGGCACACTTACCTCCCCTGTTCCAGAGCCCTGTCATCTCTGGATAAGCAGAATGAACTTCCTCTATTATTCATGAATATGACTTGCAGGGAGCACTGGTTGTTGCTGTGAATTAAGTGTCTATCATTTGATCACAGTGATGATTTTTGGATGTCCTGCATATCACACCAAGCACAGCCCAGGGGGGCAGAGAGATTTCCCTGCTCCAATTACACGTAGAGGCCCAAGACACATTGTTTGGGATGCTTGTTTTTCTGGTACAGATTGAGGGTGCATTGGATGTCCTCTGTTTGATTCCAGAGGTGGATGATGTGGTGAACAGCATTCTTTTCCTGCTCAGTGACAAGAGTGCTATGACAACTGGCAGCTCACTGATGGTTGATGGGGGATTTCTCGTCTCCTAAGATGACATCTGCATTTCATATCTTGCCTAATTTTCATACTAGTGTTGCATAGATCTAAAAGGAATAGTAAACAGTGACAAAGTCCCAGTGTTGCTGGACAAGAGGGGCAGCAGAGCTAGAATCTGTTTGAGAATTGAGGCAGAAGTCACCTTTAGAAGGCTGCTATATAATAAAGATCACATATGCTGTCATGGAGAATGTTTATTGCACCAAATAAGGTTTTATCTTATCACTCTACATGATGATTAGAAATTGGATCTGTCTTTCTTCCAACCCTATTCCCCCCTACAAACACAACCCTTCAGAAGCTTTCCCTGTTCCATCCAAACCCATAAAGCCTGCCTGCATTTTCCTTGGGAAGGGAAAGAAGAAGTTAGCAGACACCTCATTGCTTCCTTTGCTCTCTTTAGTAGAAAAAAACAAAACAGAGGCAACAACCTCAGCCCTGCTCTGCAGAGACTGGATTGTGGGGGGAGGCCCTGCTAAAGACTGATGGGGGGGAGCAGCACCATGCTGTCCTAGGGTGTGCACACAAAAAGGCAAATGCATTGATTGCACAAGGCTGTTTCACTCACTGAGTTTGGCTAGTATCCAATTAAGCACCTAATGATTAGTTCTTCAGCTTCACATTTCGTTTACTTTGACCCCTTTCTGGGGCTGGTTATGATTCCTTCAACAGTCTCAGGCACGTATCTGATAGAGCACCAATTTGTTAACTGTTAGCCACAGGAGGCTGGGCAAGGAGACCCTTCTACTCTTCCAGCTGCTCTCGTCATTCACCACCACTTACATCAGCTTCCTTCCCACTCCCGCAAGGATCTTCAGCACGAGTTACACCCGCAGATGAAACACAGGTGTTTCCAGCACAGGATGGGTGTCTCAGCCCTTTCAGCTTGGAGTTCAGGAGAGCCAAAACAGCCTGTTGCCCCAAGGAGCTATCTTGCCTTCCCCATTGTACTTTCCTGAGGGCTGTACAGCCCCCAGCTAGTCTCCTGCCCCCACTGCCCCTTCACATCAACACTGACGTTAAATCAAAGAGACATTTAAAAAACACTGACTTCGTACATGATGAAGGGCCCTACACATCCCAGCCCCCTCCAGAAACACCCAGCTAATACGCAATCTGTCGGAGGACAACAGCATGCTGAGCCAGCACCTAGGCCACAGCCCTCAGAACATGGTGCACTTTTTGCCAGGCTTCTTCACAGGCGGTGGGCAGAGCACAGCCCGGATGGCTTCATCAAACACCGTCTTCAAGCCCCGCTGTGTCAGGGCAGAGCACTCAAGGTACTTTACCGAGCCTAGGGGAAAGAGAGCTCCAGCTCAAGCACTCCAGTCCTACCAGGAGGCAGCGTCCCTCACCCCTCCGAAACAAAAAGCTCAGCGCCACGAAGACGTCCCAGCACATCACTCACCAATCTCCCGAGCCATGGCCAAACCCTGGGGGTAGGTGATGGGAGCCAGCTTCTTATCACGTAACCTTTCAATGGTGTCCTTATCATCCCTTAAGTCCAGCTTGGTGCCCACCAAGATGATAGGTGTATTTGGGCAGTGGTGTCGGACCTCAGGGTACCACTGAGACAGAGAAGCACAATGAGAGAAGCAGCCATGGCAGCAAGCACTTCCACGAGGCTGCATTTACTACTAAGAACAAGATTTTCACTAATATTTGACAGGGTGTAAACATCTGAACAGGATTCTTCTACCTAGAATTCTGGGTATGCTCTGCAGAAAGAGGCTGGTGCAGATGTAACGAGCCTCTGAAACATGGAATTGTGACAGATGACACCAGCCAGCACTGCACACAGTACTTCAACTCCATTTTAGTTTCTAGGACATCCCTCATCTTCTTTAACACAGATTCGAAGAGGCAAAAGCTTAGCCAAAGAAGTCATGAATAAAGAGTAGGTCCCTCTTAAAACCAAGCAACTATTATTTTTGTTTCTCAAAACACAACTGCTAGAAACGTGGGGCTTGTAGGTGCCACAGGGTTGGCTCAGGCAGTGAACTGCACTGGTTCCTACCTTCCACCAAGAAGGGGAATACAATACCTTGGCTCTGACATTCTCAAAGGAGGCTGGACTCACAAGGGAGAAGCAGATCAAGAAAACATCCTGTGGGGGAAACAAGAGGATTAATTGTGTAGAAAGGAAAGGCCTGAGATAATGGAGGGAGGGTGAGAAAGGGAGCCTCACCAAAAAAAACCACCCTCAACAACAAGGACTGTTGGCTGTAAGAAGCCCTTCCCTGTGAAAGTTGCTAAACTAATTCAGAGAGAGAAGGAATGGACTTTCGGTGTGTGACCTCATTTTAATTACTAATTACTGTAATTACATTTTAAATACTAGATTCAACCTGTTAAGAGCCTGTGACCATAAACACCTTAACAGTGCTACAGTCTTCATCCCTGGTGGTGGGGGCCACATAGCAATCACTACACACTAGCAAAGCCCAGTAGTGAGCTATGGCACCAAAGGAGAGTGAGAATACAAAACACAGTTCAGCTTTACAGCAGTTCCACACCATTCCATGCACCCAAGCTGACCTACAACACGCATTAACTGTTCAAACACCACTGCAAAGTAGGAACTAGAACGTGACAGCCTCATAGTAGAGCAGTCATAAGCCAGTCCAAGCCCAGCACTCACCGTCTGTGGATAGGAAAGAGGCCGCAGTCGGTCATAATCCTCCTGTCCTGCTGTATCCCAGAGGCCGAGATTCACTGGCTTTCCATCTACCATGACATTGGCAGAATAGTTATCAAACCTGCCAAAAAAGAATCCCCATCAGTGACAGATTCTGATGTACATGTTACATTATATGAGATCCAAGGGGCAGCGAATCAGGAGGGGTCGCTGTGCAATGCAGCTCCCATGGGGGTACTCTCCTCTCATACACAGCCATACTCCACATACAGAGTTCACAGCCTCCTCACCCACAAAACCAACTGTCACACACACACACACACACGGAGGGAAGAGCAGCTGATGCACATTACTCACACAGTGGGGATGTACTCTCCAGGAAAGGCATTCGTGGTGTAACTGATCAGCAAGCAGGTCTTCCCTACAGCTCTGCAGAGGATGAGAGTGACAAGTGTAAAGGAGGGTAGAGCAGAAAGCACTGGAGCAGGGAGATTTACCCTTTCCCACCCCAAAAAAGTGAGGTTAGGTGAAAAGCTTACATGAGGAAAAGATCTGCAGCAGGCTAAAATTTTCCATCAGGGACCAGGCCTGAGCTCACCCCACCTCAGCATGCATCTGATACTGCTCTCTTCTACCCCTTTTCTCCACTCCTTTGGCCTCAGCAGAACACCAGGCAAAATGTATTTGTTCCAAAACCAAGAGGGGAAATAAATTAGGGTTACGTCCTGGACGTGCTCTCCCTCAACATATCCATAATGATCTAGCAAAATGGGCAAACAGCAGGTGAGAAAACGTGGAACAGCACACAAGTAGTTATTCAGGCTCTTCAGACATAGGAACTGAATGTCAATATATACAAAGGATGAAAAAAATAAGTATCCATAAACAAAACCAACTTCCAAGTGACTACTGGCAGTTTGGAAAGAGATTCTGGCACCAAGGGAGATCACTAAAACATCAGCTCAGAGCTTTGGCAAAGGCAGGTGGGATTGGTCAACTCAGGGGCAGCAGCTGGCTGACAATTGCGTCAGGATATGAAGGGCCGTTAGCCCTGCAGGGGAAGGGAGAAGCTTAGTTCTAAGAACAGAGAAGTAACAGGAGCAAAACCAACTTCTTTATTACTGTAAAAGTTGTGAGCTGTAGAGAACCTTCAAAGGAAACCAATATTGAGTGCCAGTAACAGCTGTTAGAGTTTGAGCCTGAACAGACACAGTTATACACAACCTGATTCTCAGAAAAGTGACATAGCAGACTTCAGGATGAGAGACTGCAGTGCTGCACAGGGACTACACAGCCAGAACCACTGCACCAACCCATCCTGCTTCTCCCCTGCACTGCATCCCCTGCCCAGACCAGGGAGGTTGCACCAGGAGCCGCTATGCTCCACTACACTCTCATGTCCAACTTACATCCCAATTCAGCACCTTGGGGAAACCATGCAATTCATAACATATCTGTGACTTAAGTGCTTGGGTACCCAAGTTTATTCAGCCAAGTTCATTCAAAGCTCACCACCAACCTGCAGACCTGGAGCCCACTTCCAGCACACCCCACTCACAGCTGTTGCTGTCTTCTTTATAACAAGGCTGTGCTGCATTGGACAAGTCTCCTATTGGCCTCTTTAGGCCCTCCAGCTAGAAACTGGAAGACCTCACTCCCAACACATACTTGTGGGCGCTGTATGCACAGGCAGGTGGAAGGACCAGCTGCTCCCTAAGACCATTCATAATGACTTCTCTGCATTTTTGTCCCGTGCTTGCTGTAGTGATCGGAAATGCAAACAGAGCATTGGGAATAACAAGGAGAAATACGTAAGACAAGCTAGGAAAAGTTAGGAAGCACCAGAAGTCCACAGCACGCCCGTATTATGAATACAGCTGCGTTCTCAGCCAAAAGCACCAGAAGGAGCCCAGAGAACAGAGCGGGAAGGACGACAGGCCGTGCGGTGAAGCGAGAAGCAGCGACGCGTTTCATTTTGGAAGGCAAACAACAAAAGGAGACGTAAGAAAAACCTGCGAGCATCGAGACGGGGCGGGGGAGAGGCTGCGCAGCGACGGGGACCGAACAGCGATACGACGCGAGGCGGGCTTTAAACCCAGGGGAACGCGCCGGCCGGCTCGGCGGCGCGCCGACAGATGCGAACGAAGCCCCGAGCCGACGGACGGCAGCCGCAGGCGGGCCCCGGGCTCCCTTCCACGGGCGCAGCTCCGGGAACGGCCCCGCGCATCCCTCCCGGCGGCCCTGCGGGATGGCGGCCCGGCCGCACGGCTCCGCCCGCCTCGGCTTCGCGGCGTCCGCTCCGGTGCCTCTCGCTCTGCCGAGCCGGCTCGCCTGGGCCGCGGGGCGGGGCCGCGCCGGGCCGGCCCTCCCTCCTGGCGGCTCCGCCGGCCTCCGGCCCGCTTTGTGCGGAGCCACGAGGTCCGGGGCGCGGGCGGGCCGACGCCGCTTCCGTCCCGCGGCCGCCGCGCACTCACCCGTCGCCCACCACCACACACTTGATCGCCTGCATCTGCCCGCGATGGCGGCGCCGCCGCGACTCCGCCGCA